GCTGCTGGTGTTTAGCCTGCTGCAGGCGTTCGTTTTCTCTCGGTTTGTCTCCGCCTGGGTAGAAGCAAAACCCCACAGTATCATGCAATTCAAAGCTGTACGCTAAACCCTAAACCCTCATAAACCCTAAACCCTCATAAACCCTCATAAACCCTAAACCCTCCTAAACCCTAAACCCTAAACCTCCATAAACCCTAAACCCTCATAAACCCTAAACCCTAAACTTTCATAAACCCTTAACCCTAGACCACATAAACCCTAAACCCTAAACTTCATAAAGCCTAAACCCTCATAAACCCTAAACCCTAGACCTCATAAATCCTAAACCCTCATAAACCCTAAACCCTAAACCCTAAAGCATCATGCAACAGAAAGCACTGTATAAAACCCTAAATTCTGGTTCATGCGGGGTATGAAGTTGGCACCGTTCTTTTGAGGGTTTAGAGTTTTAGGGTTTAGGGTTTAGGGTTTAGGGTTTAGGGTTTAGGGTTTAGGGTTTGTGTTGAGTTTTGGTGGACAGGTATCGACGGCATTTCGCGTTAAGCTGAAAAGGTTCTTCAAAAGTCAGTCTTTCATCTGCTGCTGCTCTTGCTGCTGCTGCTGCTGCTGCTGCTGCTGCTGTTGCTGCTGCTCCTGTAGTTGCTGATACGGTTTGTGTTGGTTGCGCTGCAGCAGCAGCAGCAGCAGCAGCAACAGCAGCAGCAGCAGGTGCTGTGTGTCTTGGTTCTTGCTGATGAAAGCCTTTCTGCTGCAACCGCTGCTGGTTGTGCTGCATCATCATCACCAGCAGCAGCAGCAGCAACTGCAGCAGCAACTGCAGCAGCAGCAGCAGCAGCAGCAGCAGCAACGGTTGTGTTTTTGTGTTTGTGTGCAGATGTAGAGCGGTGCTGCAGCAGCTCAGCATCGGCGACTCCGCTTGGTTTGCTGCTGGCGATGAAATTTCTTATTGAAAACCCCCAGCAGCAGCAGCAGCAGCAGCAGCAGCAGCAGCAGCGGCAGCAGCAGCAGCAGCGGCAACAGCAGCAGCAGCAGCAGCAGNGCAGCAGCAGCAGCAGCAGCAGCAGCGGCAGCAGCAGCAGCAGCGGCAACAGCAGCAGCAGCAGCAGCAGGTTGAATCACCACAACAGGTGCCGAAGAGGCAGCAAAGAAGTACAGGACACCAGCAAAGACAGAAGCAGCAGCAGCAGCAGCAGCAGCAGCAGCAGGATAGACTGTTCAGCCCTCCCCCTCATGAGCTGCAGCTGCTGCTGCGGTGCATAGAAGCGGAATGGCCAACCAAGTAAACTGCTGCAGCATGCTGCTGCGGCGGCAGCACAGCTGCTGCTGCAGCAGAGCAGCTGCTGCTGCTGCAGCAGAGCTGCTGCAGCGCAGCTGCTGCTGCAGCGCAGCTGCTGCAGCTTTCTGCTGCTTTTGTTTTCTATTTCAGCCGCAAAGGCAAAATGCACAGCCAAGACTTTCAATCAAATTAATTTATACAGCAGCAGCAGCAGCAGCAGCAGCAGCAGCAAAGACAGCAGCAGCAGCAGCAGCAGCAAAGACAGCAGCAGCAGCAGCAGCAGCAGCAGTAGCAGCAGACAGTATTAGCTGCTGGAGAGAGGCAGGAGCAGCAGCAGCACGATAGAAAGGCAGAAAGTAAAATAAATAAACAAAGACAGCATACAAACAAAAAACAAATAAATAAATAAATAAAACTAAAAAACAAATAAGTAAATAAATAAAGTACACAGACAAATAAATAAATAAAAAACAAACAGAAAAAAAACAAAAAAAAAATAAAACAACCACAGCACCGTGCGGTCTATCTTTGTTTGTGGTGGTGTTTGTTTTTCTGTTTATTTTATATAATAAAAATAAAAAATAAAAAATAAAAAATAAAAAGAAAAAATAATAAAAATAGTATAATGAAATGAATATTAATATTATATATAATAAACAAAGACAAATAGACAGGCAAAGACAGCCACCCTAATAAAGACAATAAATAATAATTTGTATAATAAACAGGGAAAGAGCAGCAGCAGCAGCAGCAGCAGCAGCAGCAGCAGCAGCAGCAGCAACAGCAGCAGCAGCAGCAACAGCAGCAGCAGCAGCAACAGCAGCAGCAGCAGCAGCAAGAGACAGCCGACGGGATCGATTGCTGTGTGTTGTTTATTGTCATTTAATATATAAAAATAAAATATATAATATTTTTTTATAAATTTATTTAAAAAAATTAATAAATATAATTAACTTAATTCAAACACTGCAGCAGAGCTGCCTATACACCCCAGAAGGAGGAGCCTCGGCAGCAACAGCTGCTGCTGCTGCTGCTGCTGTTGCTGCTACCCCCAGCAGCAGCAGCAACAGCAGCAGCAGCAACAACAAGAATAACAACACTATCAAATAAAAAACATCTAAGTAATCCCTCAAAAACTAACGGAAATTCCTGCTGCTGCTGCTGC